ATCCAAAAGCATAATTTTTTATTTCTTTTATTATATATAATTCTACTTTTGGGTACTACCATATCGATCACTTTTGGATATTACTTTTGTGTACTACTACATTAATCACTTTTGGTACCACTTTTGAGTACTACTACATTGATCACTTTTGTCATAATAGTTTGCTAATGAACATGATTTTTTATTTTAAATATTTAGAAGTTTTATATAGATTTATATTTGTTTCTTCTATATATATTATCATACTTGTGCAAAAAAAATCTGGGCCTAACTTCAGTAAAATAAATAAGCAATTAGGCTCTTCTTTGGTTTAGCCGACCTTGATTATGAGCCTAAATATAATGATTATATATATTTTTAATATTTGTCTAATAGTAAAGATAATGTCACTCTTTATAATACTTATCACCTTAATAAGATTTATTCAAAATATATAATCTGAGTATTAGGAAAGAGTTTTATAGTTGTTAATTATATATCTAAAGTTTATGGGATATCTAATGCTCATGAATGCATTGATAGAAGTCTGCCTTTTCACCTAGTTCTGAACATTAATATGAAGCAAAAACCTGATCTCATGAATCTCAAACATCTCTTCTTAGATGAATATAAAATTTCTCATGAAGATTTATTATTCAGAATCTTAATTGCCTGTGCTGATATTCTATACTTTGATTTAAAACATCTTGTAACTTTAAATGCTTTTACTTTAGCCAGTTCATCTAATGCTAATAAATACAGTTGGCATATTGTATATAATTATGCATGTTTTGTTAACTACAGAGATCTTAGAGGATTTGTAGAAAAAGTTACTAATAGGGTTAGAAAACTATACTCAGAATTTATTGATATTGGGCTATACAAATCTTATTTTAGTCTTTGACTTCTTGGATCAGCAAAGGGAAATAGAGTTAAAAAACTTACAGTTTCTTTAGTTAAGAAAGAGTATCACAAGCTAGAAGATTATTTAGTTCAACCTAAATCTGATTATTCTAAAATCTGGCCTCGAACTTTTTCTTTTAAAAAGCCAGAGAGAGAGAAGAAATTCCAGTCTATCAAAGATGAAACTGCCTTAAGCAAGGGAGCTAGTCTAGTTATAGCAAAATATAAATAGCTTAAGATTAGAAAAATTAAAAAAGCATTTGTTAACTTTCAAGCAAAGTTACTAGAAATATGTCCTATTTGTAATATCAAACATGAAAAAGATCAGTTATATAGTTTTCTTCAAAGTAATGAATGCTTTGTACTTAGATGTTATTGGCAGAAAAACTATAAACCAGATCGTAAGAGATTGGCATTTAGAAAAGCATCAAATATAATCAGGCTGAAAGAAAAACCTAAATAGAAATTAAATAACAAATTAATTAATATTGTAAAAAATCTATGTTTACTTACTGAATTATCTGAAAAAATATTAATATAAAAGAGATAAAAGAAGCTCCAGAAACTTATCCAGACTTCTTAAGTTCTGTATGTAGTATGACTCTTATCTGTTTATCTGTAGGTACTAGTAAAACAAAAGCTTTAAGAGGAACTCTTAACTCTTTAGCTAGAAATAGAGAAAATTTGTCTTGTTTTATCTGAGTTTCATATTACAAAACTCTTAGCAATAAGACCAAATCTAAAGTTGAAATATTATAGAATTTGGATTTTTGTATATGCCAATATCAAGAAGTTAAAGGTAGTTTATCTATAAGTGATTAGAATGTTATTATCGTCTAGGTTAAAAGTACACATTATATTGAGCTTCATAAAAGGCAACTATATGTAGTTATTTTAAATAAAGTTAATGCAATTATGTGCCAAATGTCTAGTGGAATTCATGTGTGAGAATCTGAAAATGCTATATGAGATTTGTTAAAGTTAGCTATTCATGTTGTAGTATGAATGCTTTTGTGAATGATCTACTTTAGCTTTCTTAAAACAGTATCAAGGTAAAGATATATGAATTTTTGATAATAAATATCAACTACGTATAGGCAAAACTGTTAAGATTCTTTATAATCTGGAAAAGGGTTCAGAAACTATAAGAAGAGATCTTAATATGCTTTGAAAAGGTAAGCATGTTGCTTTTGCAATAACATTATATAAAAAAGTCTGAGCTTTGGCAAACCAAGTTTCTATATTGCAAAAATCAAATAGTTCATCTATTTTAACATATATTTATTTTGGCCAAATGGACAGAATGCAATGATAAGAGGATTTTGCTAATATTAATGCTACTTGAAGTTCTCTTGACTGTATGATTTACACAAATACTATAGAGGCTGGCATCTTCTTTAAAATTCTTAATCATTTTGACATCATTATAAAGATTAGCAATATTAAAACAGAAGCATATATCAAAGCTTTTGCACAAATGCTTTACCAAATTCAGAATTGTTTACAATATATCATTTCTTTATATCATAGTAAAAAGTTTTTTGAAGTATTCCAAGAGCCAAATTGTAATTTTATTCATACTGAACTTTCTGCTTTAAGGCCTATTAATTTACCAACAGCAGTAAAAGGACATTGAAAATGAGATAAAATTGCTGATTGTTATGCTTTTGATGCATCTCCAGCAATTGAAACATATATTGAGGCTGAATATTAGAGATGCTTATTAGTTAAATACTTTCTTAAAATTTTTTGCAGTCTTGTTTCTAGTATGGAAGCTTCACTTGAGATTATTTCTGCAAAAGGTATCATAGCTAATAAGAAAATAGTTTCTAATACTATTTAAGCAGTTAAAGAAAATATTAAAAGTTCTGATACAAAATTAATAGCCAATGCATCTAATATTACTCTAGATAATGCTGAAGTTCTTAAACAAATTTCCATATACTTCTTTGCTAATAATATGATATTGCAATAACACTATTTGTAGAGAATATATGCTTTGAAGATATTGAAGGTAAGGATGATAATCAGAACTGGGGCATGGTTGATGCCAAATAGATTAATCTATACAATACCAGTTTTGTAAAAAAATTTAATAATTCTGAATCTTTATAATATTTTAGAAGATTGACATATTTCCAAAGGCAAAGTTTAGATGCAATAAAAGCCTTAGAAGAGTTAAAAACTAAAAAAGCTATACAGTGAAAGGAATTGTATAATTCCTTAGATTCTTCTTCAATTGATTTATAAAAGGCATATTTATTCAAACAGTAGAAGGCAATACATGAACTTTTTCAAATACTAGGCTTTACTAGCATTGATGATATATGCACTTTTACTAGTAATATTGTATTAGAAGCATTCATATATTCTTGTAAAAGGTTTATAGAGATCCGAAACCAATCTTTATTACTTTTTGGTTTTAAGTCTTGTGCAAAGAAAACATCTGATCTTAAATCAGTTATAAAAGCAATTAATGCAATTGCTAGTAATTAGTATAAATATATTATTAAAAATGATAAAAAAAGAATAGGTTCTAGAGAAAAACAGGTTTGAAAATATTCATACAAAATTAATCATTAGCCATATAGCAGTACTGGTTTTGAAGATAAAGATGCATCAGAGCTTTTACTATATAGGCCAAAAACAAATAACAATATTCAGAAACTCTTTGATTCTATAAGATAAAAAAATAATACTTTGGCCAGATTATTATTCAGCTAGGTGTCTCTATCATATCTGATTCTATTTTAACTTTTTATCTTCATGCCAGGCTTTCTTATAAATTTTACTATGTAAGCTACAGATCCTTGTATAGGAATTAGTTAACTTATTGCAGATAAGACATAATTTTTTAAAACATGTTTTATAGTATATGGCACATCCTAAAGCATGTCAGCACCCTTTCTCACAAATTGAACTATCTTTTTTAATATATTGACAAAAAAAATGATCTATATAAGCCAAACCATCTTTCTTGATGTATTTGCAGAATAAATGATCTATATAAGTTGAACTATCTTTCTTGATGTTTTGGCAAGATAGATGATTCATATAAGATAATTTTGATATTAATAATCTCAAAACTTCATCTTTACTTTTATTATAGATATTTAAAAATGTGATATTACAGATGGAATATTTTTTTCAAATTGAACTTTTCCTATTTAATATAATCTGACAAACAGAGATTAGTCTAACTATTACCTATATTTTACTTATCATACTAAATATTTGAACTTACTTATGCTATGAACATGATGCAAAAAAGAGTGCTTAACATTCTAACTAGTTAATAGATCAACCCAAACAGAAGGTTATTTCAGAAGTTAATTCATAAAGGTTATAAATATATTAACAAACTTTCTGATTATTCAGAAGACAGCAATAAATTTATATTTAACTCCTTTTATAACTTCTTTCTAGTTCTAATTTCACCCCTATCTATCATAATGAATAGATCAGATATTTGTAAGAACTTTCCTATTAGTGTAGAATCTGTCATTAAGAGTGGAATGAGTTTATTCACTATTGAAAAAAATAAACAATTATCAATCCAGAATCAAATCCAAATGAACTATTCTAGTAATAACTTGTCTACATTGATAGGAATAATTTGGGAATATGAAGAGACAAAAGCTTGAAGAAATAATGTACTCATGAAACTTCTTTGTCATCTGAATTTAACTTTTTTGAAACATAGACTAGGCACTTTATATAATGTATTTACCAAGACATGCTTCAGAACTAAAACATATATTAGCTCTAATGCGAGCACTTGATTAAAATGTAATTATAATTCAAATTTATTCATAGTTTTGAAATGGGGTTTCATGTCTATGTATTTTTTTTTGTATACTCTAACTGCCTACAAATTTCAAATCAATATAAACCCTCTCTGATTAGAGTGGGTCCTTTTGAAACTACATGTATAGTGCCTTTGGCTAAAATATATTATTGTCAGCCTTTTGTTAGCCTTTACTAATCATGAGTAGGTCACAGAGTGTCTATATATAGTAAATTGTTAGAATATTTTTTTCAAATTGAACTTTATCTATATAATATAATCTGATAAAGAAAGTTAATCTAACTATCGCTTATATTCTATATATCTTATCATGTCCACTATTGCAACCAAGTTTGTTACAGATTACAAACTTACTACTAAGATGAGTCTTGAAGAGCTTAGTCAATACACATCAAAAATACTTGACCTCTTAACAGATGATAAAGAGAAAAGATGCCAAGTCTGTAATTATCTTATAAAGAGTATAACTTTAGCAAAGAGTAGGTGTTTGCATTGATTTTACTCCAGAGAGTTGGGTGATGCAAAAGTCAAGTGCCTTTCAAAGAAGGTAAGGCAGAAGCCAAGAAAATGAATATATATCAAGTATCTGATAGTATTTGTTCCAGAAAAACTATTAAAGAAACAGCTCAGTGTATTATGAAAGATAAACTTAGTAAAAGAGATATAAAAGTGATATCTAAAACCTTAGTCAAAACTGATTCAGATTTTGTTGTTGTTTTATTACATCTTTTTAGGCTTTGAAAAGAATTATGAACTCTCAATGCTTTAAAAAAAATAATCTCTGCTACATTGAACCTAAAGATAACTAAAGAACCTAATAAAATTTAACAGAAATATAGCAAGCAACATGAAAATGAAGGAATTGATTTTCTGAACCACTTTTCATTAGAATTAGTTAAAGAAAGATTGGATAGGTATAATATATTTAATATACCTGACAAACAGGCTCTAGCTGATATAATGATTATGCTTTGCATTTGTTTTGCTAAAATTAAAAACTTGTATATATCTAATAGGTTCATAACTGAATATACAAAAAACTGAGATCAACAGAACATTCTTTGAGTATTTAGATCACTGGAAAAGAATGAAGATTGGGCAAGACAATTGCTTATATAAATTTAGGAAGCAATCATTTTTGAGAAGTTAAAAGATTCAGAAAAGCTTGAATCTACATACTTAAGTATGTTTCTGAAAAAAGATGAGTTACTTCTAGAAAGCAGTAAGCTACTTTCTAGCTTTTTATGCAAATTAGAGACAATATTTGCTTCTATAACACATAGG